GAGGGTGGGTAGTGGGTGGGGGTGAGTGGGGTGTGGGGAGTTGGTGGGGATAGGGAAGGTTGAAAAAGTGTTTTGGAAACATTTTCTCTTGATAGATAAAACATTTTCCTCCAATTGGAGGCGACAAGAGAGGTGTTACGGGTCTCGAAGGGTTTCTCTAGTGGCCACAAAGGGGACTGATCGTGGAACAAAGAGGTACAAGGGAAAGTGAGCATAGACGAGGGAGAAGGGGGATAATAGTGAGGGGTATATGAAGGTTAGGAAGGAGGTGAAGTTATCGGTTACTGCGGCTAAGACCACATCGTTCGGTCATTTATATGAAGAAATTGGGGATAAAGGCGGGGACAAGAAGTTGTACAGGCTGGCTAAGGTGAGAGAGAGGAAGGCCCGTGATCTAGAATAAGTGAGGTGCATAGAAGACGGGGAGGATAGAGTTTTGTTGGAAGGAGCACAAATTAGGCAGAGATGGCAGTCTTACTTCCATAAACTCTTGAATGAAGAGGGAGATAAGAGCATTGTGTTGGGTGAGTTGGAGTACTCAGAGTGACATCGAGATTTTGGGTACTGTAGACGCATAAGAGTGGGGGAGGTTGAAGGTGCTATCCGCAGGATGAGTAGGGGTAGAGCGACCGAGCCAGACTAGATTCTTGTGGAATTCTAGAATAGCGTGGGTAAGGCGGGGTTGGAAAGGCTCTCTAGGTTGTTTAATGTCATTTTTAGGGCGAAGAAGATGCCTGAAGAGTCGAGGTGGAGTATGATGATTCCGTTGTACGAGAACAAGGGGATATCCAAAATTACAACAACTATAGAGGTATTAAGTTGTTAAGCCATACGATGAAAGTTTGGGAGAGGGTGATAGAAGGGAGGATGAGAAGTGTGTCCATTTTCGAGAACCAGTTTGGTTTCATGCAGGGACGGTCGACTACGGAAGCCATCCACCTTGTGAGGAGATTGGTGGAACAATATAGGGCCATGAAGAAAGACTTGCTTATGGTATTCATTGACCTAGAGAAAGCTTATGACAAAGTCCCAAGAGAGGTTCTATGGAGATATTTGAAGGCTAAATGAGTGCCTGTAGCGTATATTAAAGTGATCCAGAACGTGTATGATGGAGCTAAGACACGGGCAAGGATAGCAAGAGGAGACTCTGAATACTTCCCAGTTAAGATGGAGTTGCATTAGGGATCAACTCTTAGCTTGTTTTTGTTTTCCTTGGCAATGGATACATTGACGCGACGCGTTCAAAGGGGGTGCTTTAGTGCATGTTATTTGCAGATATAGTCTTGATCGATAAGACACGATGTGGTGTTAATAAGAGGCTAGAGGTTTGGAGACATACCCTGAGTCTAAAGGTTTCACGTTGAGCAAGATCAAGAAAGAATACTTGAAGTGCAAGTTCAACAGTGTTACCCAGGAAGCGAACGGGGACGTGAGGCTTGATGCGCAAGTCATTCCCAGGAGAGAGAGTTTCAAGTACCTTGGGTCTATAATTCAGAATGATGGGGAGATTGTCACACATCGTATCGGAGCATGGTGGATGAAGTGGAGGCTCGCTTCTGGTGTCTTGTGCGATAAGAATGTGTCGTTGAGACTTAAAGGTAAGTTCTACAAGGTAGTGGTTAGACCGACTATATTGTATGGGGCAGAGTGCTGGCCAGTCAAGAACTCCTATGTCCAGCAAATGAAAGTAGCTGAAATGAGGATGTTGAGATGGATGTGTGGGCATACTAGGTTAAGATAGAATTAGAAATGAAGTTGTTCGGGACAAGGTGGGAGTGGCCCATATGGAGGAAAAGATGTGAGAGGCGAGACTAAGATTGTTCGGGCATGTTAAAAGGAGAAGCACAGATGCCCCTGTCAGGAGGTGTGAGAGGTTGGCCTTGGGGGTACGAGGAAGGGTAGATGTAGGTCAAAGAAGTCTTGGGGAGAGGTGATCAGTCGGGACATGATACAACTTGAGCTAACTGAGAACATGACCCTTGATAGGAGAGTGTAGAGGTTGAGGATTAGGGTAGAAGGTTAGTAGATAGTCGAGTATTTCCCTTTGTCTTCCTTCGTTCAATAGTATTAATGCTAGTAGGGTACCTCCTTTTATCCTTAGTTTGCTCTTACCGCATATCTTGTATTGTTATTACTTGTTATCAGTACTCTCTTAGTTTGCTATCACTACATATCTTGTACTATTATTACTTGCTATGGTACTTCTTTCATATTCTCTTTTGCTATCTTGGATTTAGTTTTCTAAATATCTTGTCTTGCTATTACTTGCTATTAGTGCTTCTTCCATCTTTTCTTTAGCCGAGAGTTTATCGGAAACATGCTCTCTGCCCTTCCAGGTAGGGGTAAGGCTGCGTACCCTGACCCCACTTGTGGGATTACACTGGGTTGTTGTTGTTGTTGTTGGAGGAGGAAAATGAATTCATGAGGAAAATATTTTCCAAAACATTTAAGCCAACTAAACGTGGGAAAATTGGAAAACGTTTTCCTTCGTACCAAACACACCCTTAGTGTCTATCTCTTTGCTTTAAGTTCAAATGTATCTCTTTGTCAACTTTTTGGTGTAGGATGGAGAATACTTATGATTCTGGTAACATGAGAGAGTTTCTCAGCTCCTTGCAGAATCATAAAGGAGTTTGAGCTTTCTGTAATCCCTATGCTATACATATACATCACTAACTTAGTGCTGATTTATTAATTAAATTTTTCTCTAATGATCTAAAACCTGTACTATGCTCAGTTTGTAATGGGTTGTACATACCAACCAGCACTTTCTTTATGCTGCTTTTCTGACATAATGCTACTCTTTCTATTACTTATTAAAAAAAGGGCTTGAAGAAAGTAGAGTATAAAATCACTCACAAACAGCAAATCAAACATTTGCTTCGCAAAATAATTTACAATTAAGCTTGAGCTAGCACTTTGAAAGTGTTCCTTGAACCGAGCTCTAGCTGCACGATGGGGTCATACAAGCTTAGTTCAAATGTTATATGAGCAAAGTTGCAACACCCAACACTTTGCATGATTATAATCATTTTTAACCCCTATGACTAATTATCATAGTGATTCAAATATGTTGCAAGTGTTATTAAGGAGGTAGAATGTGTTGATCAGGCCTCTTGCTTCTTGGCTAAAAATAAAAAGATGTAATATCATGTGTTATTAAACCAATTTCTAATTTTAGTGTATCCTGCTTTGGCACCAGTAGAGTCGCAGGCATGAATGACTGTTTTTTCAAGAATAATCTTGCTAAATCTCATAAAATTTCTTTTTTCCTCTTCAATTTAAAGCTCGGCAAACAACGTTACACCTTTTAATACCAGGAATTGTTTTCACTTGTCAACATCTATCTCCACTCAATTCCTTTTACTCATAGCAAATACAACTCGAAATGCAGAAGCTAACCACATAACGATGAAAAGCTAGTTTGAGTTGCATTTTGTTTGGACGAAGTAGGTCTTTGTTTAAAATGGGAATGAAACTGTTCGTTTGTTGGAATCTGAAAAATGGTGGCACAGAGGACAGCTTAGAGAAAAAACATCGACAGGATTTCTGGTTGCTTTAACTATCTTGATTCTTTGGACATTTTATACAAGTTTCAATAAAGAATTACATTGAACATGGGCTCTGCTTAGCATTGAATAAGTTTCACTACTTTGTTATTAATTATTACGTTCTTATTCATCACAGGAATGAAGCAGAATGCATTGATCGGATTGTACACGAGAAATTTCAAAATGTGCACCACACAGTTTCAGCAACTGAGAAGTATTTAGTGGGAGTCGAATCTCGTACTGGTGGAGTGGAATCAATGTTGAAAGTTGGATCAGGAGGTGTTTATTTTGTGGGAATATGGGGAATGGGTGGTGTGGGGAAGACAACGGTCGCAAGAAAAATCTTTGACAATATTTCTAATCAGTTTCAAGGGTCTTGTTTTCTTGCAAATGTTAGAGAAGAATCGAAGAAGCATGGGATAAAACACTTGCAGAAGACACTTCTTTCAAGAATCTTAAATGAAAAATCTTTGAAGGTAGCAAGTTTTTATGAAGGAGCTGACATGTTAAAAGGAAAGTTTTGTCTCAGGAAGGTTTTAATTGTTTTTGATGATGTGGATGACAACCACCAGTTGGAGTATTTAGTTGGAAAGCATGATTGGTTTGGTGATGGCAGTAGAATCATTACAACAACCCGAAATGCAGATTTACTTCGTTGCCACGACGAGTTATATTCTGTCCCTGAATTGGCGAAATGGGGGGCTCTTGAACTTTTTAGTTGGCATGCCTTTCAGAAGAGGACTCCAGATAAAGAGTTTTTAAAACTCTCTAAGTCTGTAGTAGATTATGCTAAAGGTTTACCCTTAGCTCTTACGGTATTGGGTTATTTTCTCTACAAACGAGGCATAACTGAGTGGAGAAGCGCATTGGATAGACTCAAAGATACTGGATACGAAGAAATTGTTAAGCAGCTCAGCTTAAGTGTAGATGGATTGTCCTGTGAAGACAAGAATATATTTCTTGATATTGCATGCTTCTTTAGAGGAAAAAGGAGAGATTTTGTGATAGCAATACTAAATAGTTTTGGCTTCAAATCAGAGATTGGAATAGATGTCCTTACAAAGAAATCACTTCTTTATATTTCAGAAGGAATAGTTGAGATGCATGATTTGATTGAACAAATGGGTCAGCAATTGGCACGTGATGTTGATCAGGACAAACCGTGGAACCATAGTAGAATATGGCATGAAAACGATATAGAAACTGTTTTTTCTGCAAATCAGGTATGTGTCTCCTCTAATCATTTTGAGGATGCTTGAGATTTGTCTTGTTTCTTTTGCATTTTTTTGGGATTCATGAAAAGTGAAAGCTAGACAATAGACATCGAGTTGTACAGCATTTTAGGACTAAAACATTTTTCTTAATAGTATAAACTTCAAGTTATGGGCTGTTTTCTTAATTAAATCAATTGCAACATCTTGGTGACAAGTATACTCTGGTATCTTTGAATTACATTCCTTCTATTTTGCGGGCATGTGTCTCTCATGTGGCCATCAATGAGAATAGTTTTATTACGGATTCTACTTTCATATATTATCACATGTGCCTTTGGGAGATTTTAATTTGTATAGCTACTCAATATACAATTACTAGAGTTTTAGTTTCAATTATGATACTTGTATTAGATCTTGTGCTCTTGATTCTTTTATTTTTTGATATGCTAAAAAATGTCAAATTCTTATGACCTATTATCCACTAAAGTAATATTAGTAAAAGAAAATTACTCATAGGCCCAATTTTTCCTTATGATGTCTTATTTAAATCATTAGGAGCTAGTTCTATTTTCATAACTCCGCCCGTGTGAACAAAGTACAGCCGGTGGCGGTCCTAAGTTCGTAAAGGAGGATTATAGTAGGTTGACAGCCAGCGGCACAATAGTTCTAAGTATGATGATTCTTGTGAATACTAATTTGAATAGAGCAGGATGAATATAAAGGTTTGATTTAGTTCAATACGAAGTAATTTGAGATCATGGCATAGTTGATTGATTCATTGAATCGTCTATTTTTTCTTTTTTACAATTTAATGTTGTTCATTTTTTTGATTTTCTCTAAATATCAGTGTTTCTTGCCAATAGAAGAAAAAAAGACAAAATTAATGTCCCTTTTTTTGTGTTATCACAATTCAGCTCTACAAACTTTTATTGACTTTTGTCATATGATTTGTCTCTCATATTGCTTCGTATACATTCATTTTATTTGTCTTAATGGAAGTACATTTTAGTGAGCGCCTTCTTTACTACCTATAAATAGTGATATAATTTACTTTTACTACAAAGTAATTTGTTGCAGTGTCTTTTTTCAGTAATGCCGTTATTTGTCTGAGAGCTAATTTGACTGATGACATTTGGCACTCCCTCCTTTTCAATTTATGTGTCTTAGGTTCCTTTCTAATTTGCTTTAAAAACTGCCATTTTTCATATTTGGTAAGTCTTTAATTCCATGTTTAAGACCATAAGATTATAAGAGTATTTTTTTGTATGTTACTTTTAGTTTAAGATCACAAGATTCAATAGTCTTTACATTCTTAAACTTCGTGTCCAGTCAATCTAAGAAACATAAAATGTAATGGAGGGAGTACTATTTTGAGAAGAAATTTTTTCTTGTAAATTAGATTGTTGCAAAGTCTTCTCCCTCTTAGAGAAGAATTATATGAGGAACTAATAGTTGAAACGTAATATAGGATTCTAGAAGTAAATGTACTTTATTTTAGATTATAGGGGAAGCTATCCTTTGATAGGTTTCAACATAACTTTGCTTTTTGTGGTTTAACAATTCGTAGAGGCTATGCTATATGGAACGAACTTTCGAATGAATTTTCTTTTAAAACTTCCATGTATCCACTTAGGATTTTCTGCTGGTTTTCAAGTTGAAGAAGCAAGTAACTTTATTAAAAAAAGGGTTGTGAAGCAGCTAGTAGATTTTGGGTTTTTAAGGGAAAGAGATTTTCTAAATGTAGGACATAGAATCTTGAGTTTATTAGGCATTTTTAGTTGAGAAATAAATGTATTATATGATAATTTCTTTTTGATAAGGAAAATGTATATTTAACTGAACTACTGTAGCAACTGAATTATATGATAAGAGAAAGCTGTTCTTAATAAAGTCATGAAACTATTTGATTCAACTCTGAATGAAAGCTCCATTATGCTTTGTCTAAGGAGAATAGAGTCTTGCTCTTTAATGTGAATTCTGGTTAACGTAGTTACTTCTTCCATTTTCAGTGGACAGAGTCAGTAAAAGGCATAATGGTACCAATTGGCTCAGACCGACATATATGCAAGTGGAGCAAAGCTTTTAGAAATATGCCTTGTCTTAGGTTACTCATGGTCAAAGGGGAGGAGGTCCGACATTATGAACAAGTTTCTGGCACTATTGAATATCTCCCCAGTAGCTTGAAATGGCTTGATTGGTCTTACTACAGTTTTGAATCTTTACCAACAAATTTTCAACCAAGAAACCTTGTTGGGCTCAATATGACTTTTAGTTCTCTTGTTGAAATTTGCAAGGAACCAAAGGTATTGGTGATCTCTTTCATTATGGTTCTTTAAGTATTTCGTTTTCTTTCAAAGAAAAAGAGTTAGTTAAAGCTGACTTTCTATTCTTATACTTTTTTATAAGCAGGCATTTGACAAGTTGACGATTCTCAATTTAAGTTTTTCAGAGTAATTTACTCCGAACACCCAATTTTTCTGAGATTCCAAACCTGCAGAGGATAATACTGAAAAGTTGTTTAAGCTTGAAAGATGTTCATCCATCCATTGGCAATATCAAAAAGCTTGTTTCTCTGAACATGAAGAACTGTAAAAATCTCAAGTTTTTACCGAGCAGTATTCAAATGGAATCTCTTGAAAGCCTCAACCTCTCTGGTTGTGAGAAATTAGATACTCTTCCAGAAATTCGGGGGAATATGGAATTGCTATCAGAGATTCTTTTGGGACGTACTGCAATTCGGGAACTACCCTCATCAATAGGACGGCTCTTGGGTATTAGTTTGCTTGATTTGCATTCATGTGAAAATCTTGTAAGACTCCCAGCCAGTGTTAGCAAGATGAGAAAACTGAAAGTTTTAATTCTTAAAGGCTGCTTAAAACTGGCCACTTTTCCAGAAAGCCTGGGTGATCTAGAAGAATTGGAGGAGCTCTATGCTGGAAACACTGCCATTTGGCGACTACCAGATTCTATGGAAAACTTAAGCAAACTTAAAATCCTATCATTAAAAGGTAGACGGGAGATGAAGTGTCAATCTGCTACAGGTTTGATATTCCCTTGTGCATTTCAGGGTTTGAGGGAATTGAAAAGTTTGGATCTCAGTGGATGCAATTTATCTGGTGACAAGATTAATGCTCATAAGTTCTTGACTTCTCTATCGGAACTAAACCTTAGCAGAAACAAGTTTATTTCTCTACCTGATGGCATCAGTCAACTTTATCGACTTCGATATCTCAACATAACACACTGTCATGAACTTAAGAAACTTCCCGAACTTCCTCAAAATATAAAGGAATTGTATGCAGAAGATTTTCTGGCCAGACAAATTATGCTAGCTATGTCGATATACCGAAGGTTGTGTTTGGTCTCATTCACCAACTATAGTTTTGATCAACAACCGTACACAGAGAAGAGCGATGATAACTCAGTTTTGGATGAGATTCTGAGCTTGTTTCTTTTAGACAGCATGGATGATAGGATGACTTATTGTATTATCTTTCCTGAACGTGCTATCCCCACATGGTTTAAACATCAGAGTACTGAGGAAAAGATCTTGCTTAAACTGCCCGAGGATTGGTATGATGATGGGTTTGAGGGCTTTGCTATATGCTGTGTCACTTGCATGGGGGCAGGTGTCCACGATCCTGTTTCAGGGCTATCAGGGAAGTATGACTATACTTTCATCAAAGCCAAATTGATATGCAATAATCATCTGGAAAGTTTAAAGTGCTGGAGAAAGAGTGTAAAGTCAGTACGAGGTCTAGAACTTATAGCTGGTGTGTTTGCTTTGCCTACATACCATTGTGTTCTTTGCTGCAGACTTCTGGCACAGAAGCTATAAACTTTAACCAGTATGGCCTATTCGAGGCATCTATCCAAAGGCACATTGCGAGACGTTGGGGAGTTCATTTGATTTACAAGTCTGCAAGACAATTTTTCGAGAGTAGAACTGAGAAAGGGTTGCTTGCCCAGAAGTTGAGTATAAAGCTCCTAATGTCAAACTTGAATTTCTAAAATACCCATAAAAAATTGAATGCCCATTTTATTCTCAATATCTACAATATTTTTGTACAATAACGTAATTATAGATTTTAACAAATTTATTAAGCTACTGACATCTTTTCATATACAATGTATATGAACATGGAAACTACAATTATTATAGAATTACGTGGGTAAATATTAATTATACTTGCAACCTTGAATGGGATATAAGTACTTACTAGTACTATAAAAATCCGAAGACGAATCTCTTATCTGGACGTTTGGAGAGCTTTATACACAATGGTTTTGAGAATTTCTTTTCCTCATTACTTTTCTCCCATTCAATTTCCTTTAAGTTTTGACATAAAGTGTAAGTTACAATTGTCTAATTTAATTATCTTTTATCTCCTATTTAAGATTGATCTTCCCAAAATTCTTTTACATAAATCTTCAGATACACAAAGAAGCTTTGATGATTGCCTGGAAAGAGAAGTTAAGATGGCATTGGCAATAAAATTAGTGTCTATTGCATCAGTATGACTGTATGAACTTCTTTTCTCCAAGTCTCAGAAAGATGACATATGACGCCGACCAAGCCTTGGATTAAGAAGCTGCATGAGCATATTAACAAGACCTGGATCACTCTTTCCTCTTAGAATGTTAAGAATCTGGTATTGAGGTTTTGGTTACTATTAGATTCATTTTCTTAGGTAAACTAGGTCTTCTTCAATTGTATGTTATGGTGGTTTGATATGTGATGTACTAGCTTTTTGTAACTATTCCTACAATTTTGTTGCTAAAAGAAGTGTTAATTCTCTTTACACTTTAATGTCTTTAATTCAAAAAATAGACGTTAAAATGTGACAATTAAGAGGTTCATAGAAATATAAGTAGTATAAATTGAAAAACTAGATTTGAGTAAGGACTAGCATGGACAATGTTGTGGTAAACTAATATGTCCATCTTGGTTGGCTTGTTTTGGATGGATAGCGTTGAATAAAGTCCCCCTTACAAAGACAACTTAGTGATAAAAGGATGTTCAATATGCAATAGTTGCTACCTGTGTAAAAGGGACCTAGAAAGTATCTGTTTAAGAGAATGTATTTGGATTCCCACATGTCTAGATTCATTAAACTTGAATAAGAAAAATATTATATCTATAGGATATCTTAGGATATTTTGCTTTTAGTTAATTGAATATTTATTTATCTTGATTATCTATCATGTTGTAAATAGTTTAAGACTCCTATATAAGGAGTTCAACTTCTATATTTTTCATTTGCAAAAGTCAATTAGAGGTTTCATTTTTTCGTGGTATTGAGTCTTTATGATCTTAGTAGAGACTTGAGTAACTTCAGGCGGCCTTGCACCACCTTCTCCCAACCAATGTTTTTCTTCTTTCTTTTCTCTTTCTTCTCTCTAGCAAATGACACCATTTCTCTATGGCTCTATAACTACCCTAAACTTTTTTGTCCTTTTTTACCAATTCAAGTTACGTTGATGATGTCCGGGAGATTTACGACGCCAGACCTCTTTTGGTGATTACCTCTCTTCCCTATCAAGTGCAAGAATCACTTTCTTTCATTGTGCAGTTCCCTTGAAGCCAAAGCAAATTATGCTACTGTTACGATCCAAATCCACTAGAGGTGGTGATGGCGCCTAACATCGCCGTCAGACAAGCAAACAGTGAATGTTTAACTTAATTACTCATTTTAGTATTTTTTTAAATTATAATTTTCATCAATTAAATAGTAAGAAATAAAATTTACAGGGTTACTGATAATATTTTCAAAACTGCAGTAAAGGACAACCCATAAGTACCCCAAAAACTCGGTGTCACAAGTGTATGAGCATCAACTAAGAAATAAAAAAAATACAACAGCTATCTGAGATACAAATTAGACAGGAGAATACAAATAACTCTGATGGAGACTCAGTAGGCTGCAGATCGTAACATGAAATGTAGCTTACGGTAAGTCCCCGCATCATCTGCGCCTCTACGCCCAAAAGATCACCAGACATGTATGTATCTGCACAAAAATGTGCAGCAAGTGTAGCATGAGTACGTAAATCAATACGTACCCAGTAAGTATCTGGCCTAACCCCAGAGAAGTAGTGACGAGGGGTCGACATCGACACTTACTAGTGGTCCAATAAGACATATACAGTAAGAAGTAAACGTATATGGGGCAAAGAAAATAAACGAATTAAACAAGTGTACATATATGGTACAATCCTTCTCTCAACAATAAACTCAACTCTCGATTAGCAGTCACCTCCTCTACCGGAGTATATGTATATATATAATGGACCTCATCAGATGGGTCGTCGTAATTCAAATCAGGAAAACTCCCCAGATACACTAGCTATTTTTTACAAATAATACGCACGATTCCATAGGAGTATTTTACAGAAATGTCGAGGCGTACTACCTGATCCCATTATAATCTGGTACATAACCATAGATACATCTATTATATATATTTCCAAGGCGAACGGCCAGCTCCCATGAGAGTGTGGTACATAATCATGCCGAGGCAAAGGACCTAATCCTATAATGTGTGCGCACTACCGAGGGTCGAACGACACGAACCATAGATGTATCTATCCTGCCGAGGCGAACAGTCTGATCCCATTAAAATAAGAAGCTTTGATGGGTCCTTAAACCCACTCACGAAGGGACAAGTGAGTTTTAGGAAAGCTTTGGGGAAACCCTTCGATGAGAACACATAACGCGGGAGAAATTCGTAAGAGGAGTATAATTATTCTATAGCAAATCATGAAGTTCGTCCGATCTCTACAATAACGAGTCTACCGCTCTACACAAGTCTAGTATCAAATTGTAACATGTAGTAAAGCAATCTAATGGGCAAGAGACGACTCAAATAGTACAGTTATAGCATGGCGTGAACCTGAGTCTACCCGGACAATAACATGAATATAGCTACGTACGGACTCTCGTCACCTTGTATGTACGTAGCCCCTGCAACAAGTATCAAATATCAATTACAACACCTAGGCGTAGTTTCTCCCTCACAGAGTTAGACAGGAGACTTGCCTCATCTTAAAGCTTGCCTCGTCTTAAAGCTTACTTTCCGGTCCAAAATTATGCTTTAAACCCTCAACTGGGTGCCTAACGTCTCAAAACTAGTCAAATGTTATATAAAATAGTCGTTACATGTTCAAGAGTTCATATCCTAACTATTAAAGTCATTTTTCTAACCTAAATTGAAGAATTCCTAATCCCCAAGGCCCACATGCCCAAATTCCGGAAATTTTCGAAGAAAATTGTTACACACAACCTCATGAACTAAAATATATGATTTTCACTAAATTCCATAACTATTTTCGTGGTTAAATCCCATTTTTATTAAAACCCTAGGTTTTACTCAAAATTCGCATAAATCCCACCATTTTACATGTTAAATCTACTTATGATTCGTGTATTTAGCTAAAGAATTGATAGGGATCACTTACCTCTTGATGTTGATGGAACCCCTCTCAAAAATGCTCTCAAAATCGTCCAAGACCAAGTAGAAAATGAGGGAAATAAGGCTATGTCCTGCATTAAAAGTTGTTGCATAGGTTGCAGATATCGTATTTGCGACACCTGGTTCGCAAATGCGACAAAATCTTTACAAATGTGAAGCTGAGCTCCCCACTATCAAGGTCGCAAATGCGAAGGCTGGTTGGTCGCAAATGCGATTCCTGCCTAGATCAGGCTTCTTCGCAATTGCGAAGCCTTTCTCGCAAATGCGAACCAATTCTCGCATTTGCGATACCTGAGACACCCGTAAAGAAAAACCAAAAAACTGAAGCCTTCTCAACCATCCGAACATGTCTGAAACTCACCCGAGCCCTCGGGGCTCCACACCAAACATCCACACAAGTCTAAAAATATCATACGAACTCGCTTGCATGATCGAAATACTGAAGTAACATAAAAAATTACGAATCGGACACCAAAACGCATGGATTAACTCATGAAACTCAAAACTTGTAAAAACATCCGCATGTCCGATTCCTATCAAATCACGTCCGATTGACCTTAAATTTTGCACACAATTCATAAATGACATTAAGAACTTATTCCAACTCTCGAAATCGAAATCCTAACCCGATATAAAAAAATCCACCCTTGGGAAAACTTCTCAAAAACTTCAAATTTTCCACTTTCGTCAAATGACCCCGAAATGACCTACGGACCTCCAAATCCACATCTGGACTCACTCCTAAGACCATAATCACCATATGGAGCTATTCCTTGGCTCAGAATCCCAAACAGACATCGATAACATTAAAATACACTTCAACCCAAATTCATAAAATTTTTTCAAAATGCCAACTTTCCACAATAGGTGCTGAAATGCTCCTGGGTCATCCAAAACCCGATCCGGACATATGCCCAAGTCCAAAATCAATATACGAACCTGTTAGAACCTTCAAATACCGATTCCGAGGGCGTTTACTCAAAAGTCAAACCTTAGTAAATTCCTCCAACTTAAAGCTTCCGAAATTAGAAATTTCTTTCCAAATCAACTCCTAACTTTCCGAAATTCAATTCCGATCATATGTACAAGTCATAATACCTGAAGTAAAGTTACTGAGGGCCTCAAACTACCGAACGATGTGCTAGAGCTCAAAATGTCCGTTTGGGTCGTTACATTCTCTCCCACTCAAACATACGTTTGTCCTTGAACGTGCTAAGGACAGCTCCGGAGTTGTCCAAAATCACTGTATAATACTTTGTGCACCTAGCCGTGCCACCACAAACCAGTTAAGTACAGTAACTTGAACCAGACTAAAGATCCTTCCTGCTACCTTAGCTAGCAAGCTTTAGAGCCAAATTCCAGCATTAGGAGTTCTCCATGATACCGGATTCTCACACATGAACACCGTATCAATCACCAGACATTGAACCCAACGTGACCATGCTCCTCCGCTGAAATCACACCATGTACCCCATGACTCATTTACCTGGCAATCTCCCCCAAATACAACAACTGAGATTTCCACTGACCCGAAGCCCA